TACTCTCACACCCATTGGGGTGGCAATTATCAAAATAGAAAACGTATGTGTTAGCAAGGCTGTGAAAAAAAAATCAGAAGCCCTATGCACTGTTGATAGGACTGTAAAATGATGCAACCACTATGGAAAACAGTATGGTAGGTCCTCAAAAAATTAAAAATATAACTACCATATGATCCCACAATCCTACTTCTGGGTATATATCCAAAAGAACTGAAAGCAGGGTCTCAAACAAATATCTGCACACTAATGTTCATAATAGAACTATTCACATTAAACTTAGAGGAGGAAGTAAACCAAATGTCCTCAATGAATGAACAGATCAACAAAATGTGACACACACATAAAAAATGGAATATTATTCTGCCTTAAAAAGAAACTTCCGTCACATGCTACAACATAAATGAACCTTGAGTACTTTACACCGAGTGAAAAAGCTGGGCACAAAAAGACAAATACTTATATGAGGTATCTCATGTGATCAAATTCATTGAAACAGAAAGCAGAATGCTGATTACTGGGGGCTGGGAGTCGTTTAATAGGTGTAGAGTTTCAATTTTACAAGATGAAAATATTCTGAATATCTGTTTCACAACAATATGAATATACTATTTGTTTTGTTTTGTTGTGTGTGTGTGTGTGTGTGTGTGTTTGTCTGTTTTTTGAGTTATAGTCTCACTTTGTCACCCAGACTGGAGTGCAGTGGCACGCTCCCGGCCACCACAGCCTCGACTTGCTGGGCTCTGGCGATCCTTCCGCCTCAGCCTTCCAAGTAGCTGGAACTACAGGCGTGCACTACCACACCCAGCTAATTTTTTATTTTATTGTAGAGATGAGGTCGCACCAAGTTGCCCAGGTGGGTCTCGAACCCGCGGGTTCAGGCAATCCACCCACCTCAGCTTCCCAAAGCGCTGGGATTACAGGCTGAGCCACCGAGTCCGGCTAATATGAATATACTTAACATTCCTAAACTATACGATTAAAAATGAATAAGAAGGTAATCATACTTTTCTTTTCTTTTAGGTTAGAAAATAGTTTATTTAGAAAGTATATTAGAGAGAGAGAAAAAAGAGAGAGGGATTCACCTCTCTAAGGTAGAAGAGAGGGCCAAAGCTTAGGAAACATGTCAGTGGCCATAGCTCAAAGAACACATGGCCACACCAGCATTTAGTAAAGCAATGGCCAGGAATCATACTTTTAAAATCTGGGATCTGCAAATAAGGACAAGATAACATCCTCTACCATGTTTATAAGGGTCAGTGAAACTATTAGACTCAATAGAGTAGCAACAAACGAACTGGCAACTACAAAACTCATAAACAAACAGTGTTATTACATTCTCCATCTTCATTCTAAAATATCTGCAGAACTAAAATAAAACAATGTATTAAAATAAGCTTGCTATTTATTGCAAACAAAATATACAAATCACTTTTGAGTCACTTACATGACTCAACTTAAGTCTCTAAAGTCAGCTTGATCTTGAGCCCAGATTTTACTCCTGTGCACAAGGAAAGCAGATGAGTCCTCTGATCCCATAAGAAATAACTACAAGGGTGTAGACTGATACGAAATCTCAGGGTCACCTGAGATCACAGACAACATAGAATCAGAAATGACCTGAAACCATTATGGGCCTAAACACCTGGGTTCTGAATGTAATCAAACCATATCCAGCCTAGTTTAGTCACAAAATTTTCAAACATAAATGTAGAAAATGGGAATACAAAATAAAATATGTTTTCAAATGGTTTCCACCTAAATCAGGAATTGAAATTAGGCAGACTTTACTTCCCATTTATAAAAAAATAATCGCCAGATATGTTTGGGGAATATATTTTAAACAAATGTGAAGCTCATGGATTTTTTTAAGATATAATTTTAAATATTCAACTCTAAAGAAACAACTTATCAGCTGAAACTCATAAGTTGATAAAACCTTTCTGCTTTCAATAATTTTTAAACTTCAAGTCATCCTTCAAGAATACTACCAAGCATCAGAGCTAGAACAATTTCTGTATTTCATTAAATTGAGAATATTATGTTATAAAATGCATTATTTTATGTATCACTAAGAATGCAAAAACACTGTAAATTAAAAATTACATACACCAGTTATAAAATGCATTCCAAATTCAGATATTAAAATATTTAAAAATTAGTATCTCAAAATAATATAATCCAGTAAGGACATGATTGTCCCTCAGATTAACACAAAAGTACAGGGAACCTAATGTGTACAACAATTACAGATGGGGAGGAATCAGTATTTCTGCAACACCAAAATCCCTAGAGACCCACACAAACTTTTCTTAAATGCATAAAAATAGTAAACACAAACTTTTCTTAAATGCATAAAAATAGTAAACACAAACTACCAGGGCAAAGAATCAGTAAATCATCAATGCAGATTGTAAGCCCAGAGACTCAACATCCCAAGCACCTTAACTAGATAATTCACTACAGCCTAAGCAAATGATTTGCAATTAAAGAAGTCTAGAACCTTAGCACCCAATGACTTTCAAACAACTCAGGTGGTCAAGACCCATGTTTCCTTTAATCCAATGGTCCATAGGTACCAGCTCAGAAGAGAGTGCCACTTAACTGCAGGAAAAAAGTTAATACGGGATTTTTCAGTACATACTATGAACACAATAAGCCAGTTATCTTAGGGCAATTTACAAGCTTAATGTACATTATGACACTGTTTCAAAAACAATGGTAGTGGTTGAGCATGGTGGCTCACCCCTGTAATCTCAGTACTCTGGGAAGCCAATCCTCCTCAAGAAGGTTCACTTGAGGCCAGAATTCTAGACCAACCTGGGCAACATAGCAAGACCCCTGTCTCTAAAAAAAATTAAAAAAATAAAAGGCATGGTGGTGCACACCTGTAGTCCCAGCTACTTGGGAGGCTGAGGCAGGAGGATGGCTTGAGCCTAGGAATTTGAGGGTACCGTGAGCTATAATCATACCACTGCACTCTATCCTGGGTGACAGAGCTAGACCCCGTCTCTACAAAAAACAAAAACAATGGTAGAGGTACAAAGCAAAAAGGAAATTTACCAACTAACAATTTTCAGAACAAAAGTAATAAAGGTTAATAAATTAACCAAATTTCAGCAAACACAGAGAATGCAGTCATTAATTCAACAGTATCAACAATTTTTGAATTACATATGGAAACACATAAAAACCTCTGTTAAATGTATCTATTTCAAAACTCCTAAAATCTATTATTTTTCTTACACCAAACCTGGTACTACATACTATAAAACATTAAAATATAAGTATATATAAATATCAAAGTAAATTCATAGCCAATAAAATTATACAGAAGACTCACAAATATGAACTTAATAATTAAAAAGCCAACTCTATCAAAACTCTATTATATATATGAATATATAAACACATTCAAAACAAGCAAGGCAGAATAGGTCCAAAATGCCTCCAAATATAGCCAATCCATTTCTAATTTGCAGGAAAATATAAGTCTAGATTCTCTTTAGTTACTTCACTAACCATTTAGTTTTCTTAGTCACTGCCTTCACACAGTTCACCTATCTCTCTCTATACATATGTAAACAAAGACATACAAGTCATACTGTTTTTTCCTGAAGCAGTGACCCTACTAAATAAAACATTACTAGGTTTAATGTTGATTTAGAAAACAGATAAATAAAAAATTATCTTTTCTTGCCCTTTTTGCTGTTTTTTTAGAGAAATCCAATGCGATCATTCATATGGCCCTTAAACCTCAATGCTTAGAAATTCAAATGACCAACAATGTAAACAAAAACGGCAAAATGCTAATAATTTTTGAAGACAGATAATAGGTATTAGGCACTTCAATAGCTGTCTATCCTTACGTATGTTTTTAAATGTCTATAATATTTTAAAAAACTGTTCAGGTGTCTCAAGTGGTCTTCTTAAAAATCTTTAATTGTAAAGCAAATTTAGTAGAGCATTGATTTATCAATAATTTACTTGACAGGATACACTGACTTGAAGGTAGTCCTCCAACACCTGCTTGCAAATTACTGAGAAAATAAATATAATGCTATAAAGTATAAATCTTCTTACTTTAAGATGTTACATAATTGATGACTAATTTTTTTTTAAATTTCATTCTTAGAACTGGAAAGGACAAATTTTCTCGCTCAATGGTTTGCAAACTTTTCGATAACTGGCGAAAAGGACCAGAGACACATCACCTTGTTTCACACATCATAGATTATATAAAATGTTGTTTTAAAAAGGAGCAAGCTATTAAAAAAAAAAAAAAAGCTGAAAATCCACTGTTCCATTTCACCACCCACATTCAATAGCTGATAGTGACCTAGAAAAGGTTAAATGACTGGTACAATATCATTCAATTAATGGCAGTGTCAGAAATAGAATTCAGAACTCTTGTCTATTTGTTCAGTTCTCCTTTCAAACAATGCACCACCTCAAATTAAGTCACAGTCCAGAATAAAACCGTTTCAATTTCCCTGTCTGTAAAATAAGATTATTAGGTAAGACTACGATCTCTAAGATAATTTTCCAGCTTTAAAATTCTGACTCCATGAATGCCAAGATTAAACAGAGGTCTAGATTAAGGGAATGAATGTTCTTAAACACAGTAAAAACCTTCAAACATTTTCAGTGACTTCAAAGACATACAAGTCAAATACAGAAACAAACTAACAGTAATTCAGTCATTACCTTTTGGACCCTGAAACATATTTTTTAATTTCCCCATCTTTTAAGTTAATGCTAGGATGTGAAACATTGTTCTTAAAGACCACTGAAGTAATCAAACTGGTATTTTTGGGAGGTTACTAGATATTTTTGGAAAGTATATTGGCCTAGGAAAAACACACAATTCAATGAAGATGTTCAAGTCACTGAATGCCTTGTAGAGAACCAAGTACATCACTCTCTTGAGTTTAAAATAAATGAATTGAAAGGAGCATTAAGCCTAGCTGACATAAGGATCACAAAGTTTTAATTCCCACCTATTAAAGCCTGAAAGAGGTTGCTCTGAAATATGTTAATAACCCGTTCTATGGAAGTTCTGAGCTGTCTGTCTTCAGTTTGGCTTAGCTTCGAACGATAGTCTTCCAAAAGGTGCAATGCTCTCTGGGTATCTAAGAAGAAAAGAAGTATCTGATTATAATTATATATTGACAAAAAAGTATTACATGCTAGTGCAAATAACTCTGCAACACATCTAAACAGTTCCCCAAATCATCAAGGTGAACTGATGTTACTGTGCTCATCTACACATATTTCCTAGAAAGACACCCCCCCCACCGAACTCCCCTGTCTCTGCAAATTTTTAAACATGTATCACAGTAGAAAACAGAGGAAGGTAAGCAGTTTGTAATAAATATGTATTGGTAGTCTGCCACACTAAAAGATCAAAGTATTAACAACATAGTTTCAAATTACCTGATATGCAAAAGATTATCTAAAATTTGTCAGTATAATCCAGATGTTGTCTTTCAAAAATACTAGTTCTTAGTATCACACAGTAGCTCACCAAAGAGTGTTTAAAATGAAAACGTGAAATACTAAAACACCAACTCAGAGTTTTTAAAAGACTTGGGGAGGGAGGGTTAATTGCCTCTCTAATCACTAGAAAGAGGTCAAGAAAGAAAGTTTAACAAATACTTAGGTGTTTCTATTTTCTGAAATAATGTGAGGCTTAGATTGCCTAACCAATAAAGCTAGGACTGTGCTGTCTCAGCAAAGTTACACAAACATTTCTAAAACAGCAATCACAAAACTGAAGTTCTGAAGAGCAAGTGACATCCACAAGAGAGTCCGAAATAAATCCTCACCTTGCTTCCGGACCGGCATTTTTCTGCAGAATCAGGAAGAGGGCACACACCTTGAAAAACACAAAACAGAAAGGAAAGAGAACTAAAGAAGAGTCCTGGTTAAACTAGGCATTAACCCCTATCGAAATCGAAAATCTCCCAACCCTGTTTGAAAAGCCCACCTTCCAAAGTTTTACCAAGTGAAAGGAAGAGCCTCTAAACCCAGCAGTGTGTGTCCCCGCAGAAAGCTTTTTCCTTGGAGTAGGTACCCTTCCACATTCAGAGCAGACAGAAGTCGGCTTCCAAATTCTCCTCGAAAGCTTTCCCTCCTCCCCAAAGGGCACCCAATGCCTACATCTGAGGCCGCCTCTTCCCCCGCACAAGTATCCACACTCCCCACCTGCTGCCGGGGGCGGGTAGATAAAGAGGCGCTCCGACCCTTGGCCCCAGAGCCAGCAGCGGCCGTGGAGCGCAGAGAGGGGACCGGCTGGGCTGGCCCCCTCGCCCTGCTCGGGGCCCCCTCCCCTCGCTTGCCTTTCTCCCGGCTGGCTTCCTCCGGGCTACTCCAGCGGGGGCCGGACGGGGCAGCGGCCGCTCTCCGCGACGCCCTCGCGCCCCACATGCACACCTCCGCGAGCCCCCACACCTGCGGCGCCGCC